TATATTGCAGAACGAGAAAGTTCGTAAGCCATCGACAAGTCGGGTGCGAGATGGGCGGATTTCCTCATCCTCGAGACTGCACGAAATGCATATGTCCCTCCGGCTACGGCGGAGATCTATGCAGTGAGAGAGTGAGCAACACTTAGGTCAAAAAACATTAGCGGAAACCGTGTTATTCTATCTTTCCTTGAACCCATGGCTCAATTCCTATCCTTCCCGATATGAATGAGGAGACCAAAAAATCGTCTGTTTCTGTAAGCAAAATATCCGCAAAAACGAAAAGTTGCTGCTCGCTAAAACTCTCGCTGCAAAACTGGTAATTAAACGTTCAGCTCATACAATATGAATTCGAACATTTGAATTCAATTCCTTTTCAAACGTCACCTGACACGTGAGTGACCCACTACGTATTTTAATCCATGCGCTCCTCTTGGCTCTACCCGGGTACCCACGAACAGTCTAAAGAAAATTTTCAGTGGTTTATTTCCTTCCCAAATCAAAGTCCTATGAAATTTCTACATCGCCTTCAATGGTTGACGTAACGTATTTGAATGGGAGGGTTTCGGTAGGAACCCAGCAACTTTCCGTGTATGATACCTTCGAGTGGGGTAGAAGCTCTCGAGAAAGAACCTATTGTTTCAGCCACCAGGATGCGGCGCAACAGTTCAAGCTTCTTCGAACTGGACGACTCTTGTGGACACTTTAATTCACAGCACAGAAGGTCAAAGCGAATATACGATGTGTAACTACTGGATTGAAGTATGTCCCATGCTTTAATGAAATTCATGCATAATTATCTATCGCTCGTTAATATTGTTAGCGCTCTAGTACCTCACCAATTAACTACATAGCAGTTTTACTCACTACTCACAAAATGAATAATCTTGGATGTCTTAGTCTCCAAATGGAACAACAATCGAGGTGAAGGTTGTGGAATACCCATCGGGTTATTCTGATTACGGATGCAAATTTCTGGGCTCGAAATCAAAACCAACAAGGATCAAACACTCACTGGCTACAGGTACGTCACTGTAAGCGTTGCAAGTATAAAAAAGGAATAAACTAAAATGATAAGTTTAGGCAGCTTCACAAAAAATAGTCTAAATTGAGATTCTTATAGTTTCTAAGGGGCAACTGATTTTTATCTAAAGAAAAAAAGGACAATGAGGACGAACAAAGCGTTGTCTTTTCTCCTCTTTTACTTTTACTATTTACCCAAAACTTTTACTTTGTTTGCATTTTACCGTTACACTCCATCACAGAACATAAATAGCTACGATAAATCAAAAGTGAATTGAAGGTGGTGTACTCCTGAAGTTGCTGGAAAGGTGTTTCGTTCTCACACAAACCGCGTGCCAGTGATCACGTACACCAACGCTTTTTGGGGACCCATAAAGACTGTCCTTGAATACAGATATGGTACTGATTGCCTTTCTTCCACATTTAAGAGAATTTATTGAACCAAAACAATTTAGTTCCTGCAAGATCAGATGCTTGAGGAGTCCCTTCGGATGGCCACTCTTGCTGACTAACGGAATGATATTGTGTTGAGGTCACGTTAGCTAATCTGTTTCTACTGTGATAAATATTTTCAATGATGCAAATTCATTTCTTCGTTGAACTCAATATTTTCCGAGCCAACCGCCCATATGGGGCACTTTCGGCTACGGTAGCCACCACAGCTATTTTCTCGTGGCTTTCGCACCATTTTAGAATCTGCTGTATTCAGAGGATGACTATGGCAAGAGCTCCCGGGAAAGGATTAGCGACAACGAGTTGCTGCTCTTTCTTGCTTTTTGTCCCAATTTGGGATTTGATTAGAGTATGTTCAACAGCCTGCACTGCATTATCTTGTCCTGCTCGGCGAATTTTCGGACGGTGAAGCAGTCCAATGAACTGATTTGCATTTCGTAGAATGTGAGGGCAATAGGTACATACAGGTGTCCCATAAATATTGCACCACTTTCTTTACTTGTAACTTCTTTCAAAATGGATGTATCTTCAAGAGGTTTTACAAAAATTTTAGCAATACATTTACATATTGAAAGGAATGACATTCATTGGATATGCTCCCCTGTTGTTGTGAGTATGGCTCCCAATTGCTTCGAACGCAACTCTACTGTGGCCCGCATGGCATCCTGGGGTGTTCTCTTCGAAACTTTGCAGAGAAAAGGCTCCGGCTCATCCATGTGGATGCAATGTTTAGTGCAGGCTCTGCCCTCTAACATAGCCCACATAGGATGGTCCAGCACGCTGAAATCAAGGGATAGGAGAGCCATTCGTTCGAGGATGTGAAATCGGAAAGAGTGCCTTAACAGCGCTCCTGAACAATTTTTGCCTCCTATGCAGAAGCTGGGTCCTATTGAAAAGATCATCACCCCTCCTCAAAGTGGCTAGATACCTCAGTAACAGATGGTGCACCGAAATGTCCCTTGGCTCGGTCTAGTATCAAGTTGTATTCCTTTGTAAAGTGATGGTGAGCGACCGGTAGTTGAGACCCCTCCAGACCATGATAAGGTTCGGCTGCTGCTTGTGGCGAATATTCCTTTCACTCTCACTGACTTCCTCAAGAGACATCCTCGGAGTTTGAAGATTGTAGCTCCGCTCCATGTGAGGAATTTTGTCGTCGATGAAAACGGTGCCCGCGTAATCGCCATTTTCGGCCCTCGACACCAGCTCTTTGAACTTTTTGTCTCTGCTGTGCTCCTCCCGTTGGATTGAGCAGTGGTGCTTATGCAACTTATAATGGACTGTGAGCAGTTGTTATCCGACCACTCTCTACATGGCTGTGTTTAGAAACTCCAGCGTTCTGGTCACCTTTCTCGAGCCAACCCGGGTATTGCAGTCGTTTCGCTTCTTCATGCTTTTCCTGAGATCCAAGATGTCAGAACTTGTGGGGCGGCCACAACAAAGACTACTTTTATTGGTCTTCTCTTTAGTGCACGGTAGGCCGCGGAGCGGTTGAAAATCCAAAGAAGCGCGATGCTCATCACCGGATGTCCGACCTAGCTGTGTGAGAGGTTAGGCACTCTGTTGAAGTTTAGGCGCACCATGAGATGCAGGCC